ACATTATGACAACATTGGTAATGTAATAATTGTGGTCTTCCAGATACTGGTAGTAGTCTATAGGCTTGAAATCTTCATGCAGATTGAGATAGTTCATTTGGCAAAGGAAGCCATGTGGAAGAATTCTGACTATGCTCATTGACAGTTTCCAAGAACAATAAGTTGTGGAATTAACCAAGTATTTTGGATCTAGCAATGTGTACTGACACAGGTTTAATAGTTAAAAGAACCCCTACGAAACAGTGAACATAACGTAGTAGAACTTTGCATTAAGTTCAAGGGGGAGGAACTTGGGTCAGCAAAGCTTGCTAAGTTTAAGTAAGGACAATTACTTAGGAATGAGGGCAGATTTGGCTGAAGTGGACTAGGAAAGGAGGTTAGCAAACACATTTGCAAAATAATGGTAGACGTTTAAGAAAATAGTTAATGGCTCAAAGCAAAGATATATCCCAGTGAAGTAGGAGAATTCTAGGAAGGGATAAGGTAACTTTGGTTAGCCAGGGAAGTTAAGGGCACCACCAAACTCAAAGATAAAAATACAATATGCCAAATTATAGTGATAAACCAGATGCTTTGAAAGTTTTAAAAACTAAAACATAACCAATGAGGAAGAAGATAAACTAAACTAGAGGGCAAACTTAGAAGCAATATCAAGGCAGACATCAAGAACTTTTTTGTAAAAATATCTAAAAATGGAGAAGCCAAAAGAAAGAGGCAGGGAAAATAACAGGATGCAGGAAATTGCACAGGGAGTGGAGTAAAACTCTACAGTAGAAAATATGAATAGCATTTCAAAGTTACTAAACAATCAAGGTGTAAAATTCAGTAGATATCACCTAGAAAAAGTGCTAGGGAAACTCAGTGCTAAATACCAACAGGTCCCCTGTACCTGATGGAACGCACCCTACAATACAGAAGTAGCTACAAAGACAGCAGACACACTGGCAAAATGGCAGCTTTATTTAGCAAAGGAAAGAGACAAAAGAATAGTTAACTATAGTTTAAGTGAGTTGCGTGAAGTCAAGTTTGAACTCTTATTGGGAAAATGTTAGATTCTATTATTCTATGTAATAGCCAAGCATTTAGAAATACACATGATCAGGCAGATTGAACATGGCTTCATGAAGTAGAAATCGTGCCCGATAAATTTACTAAAATTCTTTGATGTGGTAATGAGCAGGTCAGATAAAGGGTAATATAACAGTCACACAGCACAAAAACAGGCCTCTTGGTCCAAATCATCCACGCCAACCAGACATCCCAATCTGACTGACTCCCATTTGCCAGCCTATTCATAGACCCATCCAGGTGCATTTTAAATGTTCTAATTGTACCTGCCTCCACCACTCCCTCTGGCAGCTCATACCATACACGCACCACCCTCTGCATAAAGTTACCCCTCAGGCCCTTTTTTAGAATCCTTCCCCTCATCTTAAACCTCTGCTCTCAAGTTTTGGACTCCCCCACACTGGGAAAAAGACCTTGGCTATTCACCTTATCCATAGCCCTCAAATTTTATAAACTTCTACAAGGTCATCCCTCAGCCTCCAACACTCCACAGAAAAGAGCTCAGCCTATTCAGCCTCTCCCTATAGCTCAAACCTTCCAATTGTGGCAGCATCCTTGTAAATCTTTTCCAAACCCTTTCAGGTTTAAGAGCATCCTTCCTGTCGGAGGACAACCAGAATTGTACACAGTATTCTTAAAGTGGCCTCACGCATGTCCTGTACAGCCGCAACGTGACATTCCCCAGGAAGGCAAGTGCGCCAAACTCCATCACCCTGTCTACCTGCAACACCACTTTCAAAGGAAAGTATGCATCCGCACCCCTAAATCTTTGAGCAGCAACACTCTCAGGGCCCTACCATTAACTGTACAAGTCCTGCCCTGGTTTGCCTTACCAAAATGCAAAACCTCACATTTATCTAAATTAAACTCATCTGCCACTCCATAGCCCACTAGCCAATTTGATCAAGGCCCTGTGGCACTCCGATCATATTCACTGTCCACTACACAACCTACTTTGGCGTCATATCTGGATTTTCAGGTGGTGTTCGGTAAGGGACTACGTTAGGCTACTTAATAAAAAGTTAAAGCCCATGATGTTAGAGGTTTTAATGTTAGCATAGATACAGGAGCAACTAATTAAAAAAAGATAACAGCTGGGACAAGGTGGACATTTGAGATAGCAATCTGTGACCAGTGGACTGCCACAAGGATCAGTACTGGGACCACAATTATTCATAGTATACTTAATGACTTGGATGAGGAGAGTGAATGCACTATAGCTGAGTTTGCAGATAACAAAGAAAAAAAAGTGGCAAGGATGGGTCAGAACTTGCACAAGAATATAGGTGGATTCAACAAGTGGACAAAAACCTGGCAGATAGAAATATAATGTGGGAAAATAGGAGGTTATGCACTTTGACAGAAACAATACAGAAGATTATTTAAATGGAGAAAGTCTGCAAGGAGCTGCAGAAGAGGCATTTGGAAGTCTTCCGGCATGAATCAAGAAAGCTACAGGTTTCAATATTCACAACAATTTATTTGTGCAGTGCCAAAAATAATTCACTTTTTAGGATTATAAAAAAAAGTGTCCCAAATTTATTCTTTAGGCATGTCATTTTAGTTGGCATAAATCATTTTTAGTTATCTACTGCATAAAATGAAACAAATCCTGTTGCAGCTTGCAGCAACTCTTATCAGGAGATTTGCTGTCATGATATGCCACAACATCAACGCAACGTACCGGAATTAGACAATCTTGACTCCATTCCAAAAAGCTTTAAATTATAGGCATTTTTATGTCTATATTTTTTCTGGCAGGATATGGTGGTTGTTATTAAACAATGCAATATGTTAGGGTGCCAAATGAGCATCATTTTTCCACAACTTCAGAAGCAGCAAGGAGGATTCAATTTCTTGCAGACATTTACTTCACAATCCAGATTAGTTAACAGAAACTGAAAAGTAATTCCACTGTATATAGGAACAATAGATTACAGTGGATAATCAATATGTAGAAGCCACCAAAACAATACATAATTATGCAGTTTATCAAAATGTTGCAGTGTCACAGCTAAAAGATTATTCAGATAACACGCACATCTCTCACTAAGGGAGAATCCCATTATGTACATCTGGAACTTAAATTTGATAGTTGACAGTAAGCTTATAGCAAAGGTATGATCTACGCTCAAGAGCACAAAAAAATTCACTGTCTACACTGACAACTGTACCTTCGGACTGCAGAGACTACAACACAAATTCCATGTGAAATTTTCCTTGCAGGAAAAGCAAAAAGACAGCAGTGTTTTTCTTTCATCAGGGAAGAGAAAAAAACCTATGGTGCTATTTGAACAAAACTGAAGGTTTTCTTGGTATGATGACCATTATCTACTCCCTCAAATCAATCAGCAGATCTGACTCTCTGCTTTGTGTTATAAAACCTTTCAGCAATATCATGTTAGCAAGCTACAGCTGGAGAACAATGTGCAGTTCTGGTTGTCACACAGTAGGAAGGAAATAATTGCCTTGAAGGCGCAGAGAGATTCATCAGGATGTTGCGTTGATTGGAGAGATTCACCCATGAAGAGACTAGATAAGCTGGGGCTATTTTCCTGAGACAAGAGAAAGAGGAGGGATTTATTGCAGGAAGGGTGATTCTGAGTGAGGTACAATATTCTGAGGGGCATGGACAAGGTACATAGGGAGAAACCTTCCCCAAAGAATGGGCAAATATCAGGGCACATGGTTTTTAAGGCAAAGTGGTGGTTTAGTGAGGATTCGAGGAAAAACAAAATCATCCAAAGGCTGAATCTACATGGAACTCACTGTCTGAAGAAACGATTTGTAGAGGTAGGAACCCTCAACAAAACTACTTAGATGGGCACTAGAAAAAAAACCATAGTGCACAAGGCTACATGCCAGATGCTAGGAAACAGGAAATGGATGGACATTTGGTAACCAACACAGACATAACAGGCCAATGGACCACTTTCTGTACTGTAAAAAAGAATGACACTATATGCAATTAAGTGATAACAATCAGAATGCCTAATACTCAAGTTGAAGGAAAGTGCAAATCATTTTTAAAGGGGAGGCAATGGCCTAGTGGTATTATCACTGGACTATTAATCCAGAGACCTAGGTAATGTTCTGGGGAAGGGAGTCTGAATCCAGCCACAGCAGATATTGGAATTGGAATTCAATAAATATCTGGAATTAAAAATCTAATGATGACCATGAATCCATTGCTGATTGTCAGAAAATCTCATCTGGTGGTTCACTAATGTCCTTTAGGGACAGAAACTGCCATCCTTAACAGGTCTGGCTTACAGGCGACTCCAGACCCACAGCAATGTGGCCGACTCTCCTTAACTGCCCTCTGGGCAATTAGGAATAAGAAAGAATATTTTAGATAATTGCTATGAATGAAAACCCTCAACTGATGGAATAAATAGCCTGCTCTATCCCATGATTCTGACGTGGGTTATAAATTGCAACCTACACCCATGTCAGGGTGATATCTAGCACATCCTGTAACTTAAGCAATACTCCGTATAAAGTTTCAAAACTATTTACAAGCTAAGATCATTTAGACATGACCACACATCTTCCTTAAACCTGATTAGAAAGGCAGACCTGAAATAAAAAGCAAGCAGTAAATTTCACAAAATTTAGACCTGCTAAGAACAGACTGAAGAGTCACCCACCAGCAGAGACGGTTGTCCTTTCACAGAGCGCTCAGGTAAAAAGAGACAACATTCAGGAAACGACTGAAGTTTCTACGACCAAGTCTTAAGAACATACCAGGTACAAAATTTCACAACACCATATTTCCATAAATCATATTAACCACCACGGAAATCCATTTAAAGAAATGAGTAACCAAAAAACAAAGGTCAACAATTGCACCTCCAAAAACCTCTCTCTTTTGATAAGCTGTTAAATATCTTTAGAAAGCTAGATGCCAGATTTCGCTTAATCATACATACATACATACGGGCCTTGGAACGTTTTCAGAAACGTGAAAGGCGCTGATTAAACGCAAGTTGTTATTCCTGTCATGCTGAGGAATTAAAACCCCGGGCGGGGAATGGGCTTCAGACAAGGGGAGATCTGTGACAGGTTGAAGATGGAGGTGGGCAATGGGACAGCACTAGGTGAAGGCCCTAGACAGAGCTCAGTCTCAGGGTGGTGGGGGGGGGGGGGGAAGGGGGGGGTGGGGGGGGTGTTGGGGGTGAGGGGAGATGGTTCGAAGGCTCCGCACCTGCCGCCTGCCCTCCGCCCGGCTCCACGGCCCGCTCCGATTGGCCAACAGGGCCCAGACGTCATCAATGGATCGCCGGCCGATTACCTCGGCCTGCTGTCACTCAAAAGGAGAGCGAAGAGCACCCGCCCACCGGGCAACGCGCCGCCTCACTGACAAATCACCGCCGGCCGCTGGGCTGGAACAGGGTCAGCATCAGCGACCATTAAAACCTCAAACATATCACACATCCGCCTGAACCCTGGAAACAAACCGCACTTCCGTACCGGGTTGCCACCCCAAGCCGTCGACTCGCGATCATCCTCCACAGATTAAAGACACCCAGACCGGAAGGACTGCTCCCTTTCCCTTATCATTGGCTGTCCTTTTGCGCTGGGGCGTCCCATTGGACTGGCCGCATGGAGTGTGGCTCTCTTATTGGCTAATGACTGCGTCAATCACTACCGTCACAGAACCGGAACAGTTCGCACCGTGGATCACGTGATCTGCCGGTTGTCACGGACGCCATTTTTAATTTCCAATAAACAATGAGAGCTCCACCTGGTGGTCCTGGGAATAATTACCCTGCAGGATGAGGTCCTCCCAATGGAAATCAGACTGTCCCAACAAAGTCTTAGAATCAAGAGCCATAGATTTACACAGCATGGAAACAGACCCTTTCGTCTAACTCGTCCCGCCAACCATGTTCCCAAACCAAGCTAGTCCCACTTGCCTGTGTTTGGCTCATATACCTCCAAACATTTCCTATTCATGTACTTATACAAATGTTTTGCAAATGTTATAACTGTACCTGCAACCCGCTTCTTCTGACAGTTCATTCCACACATGAACCACTCTCTGAGTAAAGGTTGCCCGCATGTCTTTTTTAAAGCTTTCTCCTCTCACCTTAAAAATATGCCCCGAGTTTTGAATTCAAGAGTTGTTCGAGACATGGAAATGCAGTATTGAGAAACAAAGCATCAATGTATAAACCTCCATTCTCAAATGCAAACTGGATCTCCAAAATGCATCAAAAACTGTCCAAATATGAGAAGATAATTAAAATTTCAGCTAAATGAGATTCCCATGCTGGCTAGGCTCAAGTCGCCTTACAGGTCAGGTCTACATTCACTGGAGTTGAGAAGTTTGCAAGGTTGTCTTGGAGCAGATTTAGGCTATTTTACCCATAAAGTCTGCTTCGCCATTCGATCATGGCTGATAGTTTCTCAATCTTATTCTCCTGCCTTCTTGCTTTAATCCTTGCTCCCCTCACTAATTCAGAATTTATTTATATCTTAAAGACCCTCAATGACCAGGCATCCACAGCCTTCTGCCACTCTCCTACCCTGTCCAAGTCCTTCTGAAGCCTCCCCTCTTCCTCTCCCTCCACATCGTGTCATCTGCAAACTTAGCAACAATGCCCTCAGTTCCTTTGTCCAGATCGTTAATGCATGCCACGAATACTTGTGGTCCCAATAGTGACCTCTGTGGAACTCCACTAGTCACTGGCTGCTATCCTGAAACAGACCCCTTTATCCCAACTTTCTGCATTCTGTCAGTCAGCCAATCCTCTATCCATGCCAGTACCTTGCCCCTAAGGCCATGGGTTCTTCTCTTGTTTAGCAGCCATCTGTGTGGCATCTTGTCAAAGATCTTCTGGAAATCTAAATAGATCACGTCCACTCCACATAACCATGCTATGCTGCCTGACTTTGTGTCAGCACTAATCAGAAAGGCAATATAGAAGTACTATGTGCCTTTACACTCTGGCAAGTGAGTCAAAATGTGAAAAAGGCAAGGCAGTGACATTCCAAGCATCTCGATATGAAATAGTAACTGAGTGCTAAGAGAATAAGAGGGTATCCCTGAGTTGTGGCTTGGTTCACTCCATGAAAATGGTAACCTTCCCTGCCTGGAAGGAGTTCTGGAGGGTTGGGGAGGAGAGGACTTAGATGCTGATAGGATGTTTTCTGTTTTGCACAAATCTATAATTAGAGGGCACAGTTTGTAAAATTAGGGACCTCCCTTTTAAGATGGGATGACAACAAATTCCTTCTCTCAGAGGATCATTAGAATTTGGAATTATCTTCCACAAAAAAAAGCAGAAACTGGGTCATTGAATATTTTCTAAGGCAGAGTTAGGAAGTTCTGAAGAAGGGTCACTGGGACTCAAAACATTAACTCTGTTTTTTCCCCTCAGATTCTGCCAGACCAGCTGACTTTTTCTGTTTTTGTTTCAGAACTCCAGCATCAGCAGTTCTTTGTTTTACAACAGTGGTTGAATTTTGCTGTAACAATGCAAATCAGATTTCGACATCATGGCCAGCGAGTATTTTAAGTCTACAATTGCAGCCAGCTCTATCTACTGGAACCGAGTGTCATTCAGATACTATCTGGCTTCTAGCACCTGATGCAGAAGAGCTCTGTCACAGACACTAGGTTACCCCCTCGCCAACCCTCCAGACCACTTTGCATGCAGGGACAGGCACCTACCTGATGCAATGTACAAGACTACAAGTCAGGGGATCCCAATTGTGCTCTTAGTGCACAGTTTCTTTGCTCAGTTAGGCTGCTGTACATCAGATTGCTACTTCAGTCTCACATTCGCACTGTGTGGCAGACACACTGCATGCGCTTTAAGCAAACAGCAACATCTCAAAATCTTAGGAGAGTAGACTTGCTGATGTCCCAGGAGGGACCTGTCAGTCAGGGGGTCCTGGCACAGCGGGTGAAGGGTAGACTACAACATCAGACCAGGGGCTTAGGCACAGTCAGGCATCTAGTTAGGGTGCTCATGACAAGGAGGACCACAACTCTACAATCCAGGGAGTGGATCATGGTCAGCCCTGTGGGTCCAGTGCAGCCTTTCTCGGAGTTAAAGGAGCATGGAGCTGGTCTCATGCAGGGCCACTCATAGTTCAGGACTGCCTGGCTAAGTTGCTCAAGGGGCCAGGCCATAGTCAGTCTGGGGAGTCCATCTATTAAAGATCAAGAGGGGAGAGGTTAATCAAGGGGCTTGTGCTGCAGGGCGGAGTTTGGGGAACTTAATGATGGGAGGTAGTGGCAGAATACGGAATGCAGAGGGCATTACAATAGTAAAGGGGAGCAACAATTCATAAGAAGGGAAGAAAATAGAGGATGGGAGGGCAAGGAATTGTGCAGGAAGGGTGTGTTATTGACGGTGAACAGTATCCTGGCATCAGTGGGGAGACAGCGAAGTACTGGACCTGCATAAGACCAAAAGATGTAGGAGCAGAATTAAGCCATTTGGCCCACTGAGTCTGCTCTGCCCTTTGATCATGGTCAATATGTTTCTCAAAACTATTCTCCTGCCTTGATCTCCTTACTAATCAAGAATCTAACTATTTCTGTCTTAAATACATTCAATGACTTGGCCTCTATAGCCTGTGGCAATGAGGTCCACAGGTTCATCCCCCTCTGACTGAAGAAATTCTTTACCATCTCAGTTCTAAGGGGTTGACCCTTCACTCTAAGGTTGTACCCTCAGCTCCTAGTCTCTCCGACTAGTGGAACCTCCTCATACACTCTATCCAGGCCTCTCAGTATTCTGTAAGTTTCAATCAGATTCCCCCTTTATCCTTCCAAACTCCACCAAGTATGGAGCCAGGGTCCACAACCACTCCTCACGTGTCAAGCCCTTCATCCATGGGATCATTTTTGTAAATCTCCTCAAGACTCTGTCCAACACCAGAACATCTTTCCTTCGATATAAGTCCCAAAACTGCTCACAATGTTCCTAATGTGGTCTGACCAGAGTCTTGTACAGCATCAGCAGTACATTCCTGCTCTTATATTTTAGCCCTCTTAAAAGGAATACTAACATTGCATTAGGCTTCTTAACTGCTAACTGAATCTGCATGTTAACCTTATGAGAATCCTGAACTAGGACTCCTAAGTTCCTTCGTGCTTCAGATTTCTGAAACTTTTCCACATTTAGAAAACAGACTATACCTCTATTCTTATAATCAAAGTGCATAACCTCACAGTTTCCATATGCCACTTCTTCGCTCTCTCCCAGCCTGTCAAAGTCCTTCTGCAGTCTCCCCATTTCTTGAACACTATTTGGCCCTCCATCTATTTTTGTGTCATCTGCAAACTTAGCAACAATGCCATCAGTTTCTTCCTGCATGTTCATATTATGTGCCTGGTGCCTGGCAGATGCAGGCTTAGATCAATGGGATGGGTGAGGCATTGAAGAGGTGCAATGCCAATGAAGTTGGCATGGAGGCAGACCAGGAAGTGGATGTTGATGTTTGGGGGTTCACCTACATGGCAAGGTGGAGCCTGGAATTCACAAACTAAAAAACAGCTGCCAGTGTCATCCATTGTCCTGTAAAGCCCAAATATGCAATGGAAATGAAAATGCCTTCAACCACACCCACAGTGGGTGGGTAAGTGTGTGTGTGTGTGTTAATCATAGAATCCCTACAGTGCAGAAACAGGCCCTTTGGCCCAATAAGTCCACACTGACCCTCAGAGCATCCCACCCAGACCCATCCCCCTATAACCCACCTAATCTACACATCTCTGAACACTATGGGCAATTTAGCATGGCCAATCCACCTATCCTGCACATCTTTGGACTTTGGGAGGAAACGGGAGCAACTGGAGAGAATGTGCAAACTCCACACAGACAGTTGCCTGAGGGTGGAATTGAACCCGGGTCCCTGGTGCTGTGAGGCAGCAGTGCTAACCACTGAGCCACCGTGCCACCCCTTCTACCAATCTATCGGCCTCTGTCCAGCCACTCTGCGCAGTTGTCTTTCCCAAAGTCCACTTTGGAGGACCTTTACCTGAAGATCCGAGGCCAAACGTCCTTGACCGCTGAAGTGTTCCCCCACTGAGAGGGAACATTCCTGTCTGACGGTTGTTGTGCGGTGTCCATGCATCCATTGTCGTAGCGTCTGCATGGTTTCGCCAATGAACCATGCCTCAGGGCCTCCTTGCCTGCAGCATATGAGATAGACAACATTGGCCAAGTCACATGAGTGTCTGCCGTGCGCATGGTGGGCGGTGTTCCCACGTGTTATGGTAGTATCCATGTCAATGACCTGATATGTCTTGCAGAGGTTACCGTGACAGGGTTGTATAGTGTTGTGGTCGATGTCGTCCTGAAGGCTGGGTAGTTTGCTGCGATCAATGGTCTGTTTAAGGTTTGGCGGGTGTTTGAAGGGGAGAAGTGGAGGTGTGGGGAAGATCTTGGTGAGGTGCTCATCATCATCGATAATGTGTTGAAGGCTGCGAAGAACA